ATATCTTCTCTTTGAACAAGATAGAAATTTAGGAGTAACATGGCCTTACAAACCCAGTAGTGAGAGCTTAAGAGATCCAGCCTACGGCTCTTCAATGTGGTGTCACAGGGTCCCCAGGAAAAAAATTTTAAATGTAAAATAATAAAATAAATATTCTTCTGTAGCAATAACAAAGTATAACATAAATTGTTCTGTGGCAATTACACAAGAATATCCAGAAATGTCCCTGCCTACAATTAAACACATTCACTTACCGAAAATCGGGGGCATCTGCTGTGGCAAATGGGTGCAAGGCTTTTACCACAAACTTAATCACTGCTCTGTGACATTCGTCTATCCTGGCCTGAAAGGAGACGCTACCGGTAGACTGCAGCGAGAGCTGCCAGCATCTGAGCCAGACTCTGTCTGTCTCTCATCATGGTCACCTAAATGCACAGTAATGGCAGGTTTTGTAATAAGGCAGATCGCGCTAACATAATATGCACTGTTAGTTGATTATTTACCTGCCGCATTAACGGGAGAGGACGTGCAAACGTTACCGCTGCTGCTGGGTTGAGATTCATGAGTCCGGAGCAGAATTAAAAACACGACATTTATTTAAGGTTATCGTGTGTTTTGTGAGCAAATGCTTTTGCATATTCGTAGTGTTTCCTCCCTTAAATGAAAATATCTACTTTGCAAGTATTGCAAGTTGCCCTGTTGTCATCTGTTCTCGTAAAGTATAACCAAACTTTTGAGCGTTTGAGCCGCCATGTTTCCTGCCAGGTAAATGACGCTCCGCAACGTGGTGACATTATTCGGGGCGACTGGAATCGATAAGGGAATCGTTTGCAAAAATGGCAAACAATTCCAAGGAATTGAAACAGTGGGAACCAGTTCTCAACAAGAACCGGGTTTCGATACCCATCCCGATCCATAACTCGAAATTTCAACTTATCAACTTGAAATTTTGAGAAAATTAACTTGAAATTTCGAGTAAGCTCTGCCCATCAGTAAGCTACGTGGAATGCGCACTCGAAGCCGGATCGAGAGTACGTTTGCTGATAGTAACACCATGTGATTCAGCTAATAACACAAGGATTTCGTCATTTGTGAAGCCACACTTTGTGCATTCATGACTGGCTGTAATACTTGTACTTTAGCTGTAGCATTTGTAGCTGAGGGCTTCAGCTTCCGGGTAACAAAGAAATTACGTAATTCATGTAGATTACTGAATTTCGATTTAATAACTCGAAATTTCGAATTATTAAATCAAAATTTTGAGAAAAGTAAGTCAACATTTCAAGGTACTTTTCCAAAATTTTGAGTTAGTAAGACAAACTTTCGAGTTAATAAGTCGAAATTTCGAGTTAAGTCTATTTCTCAAAATTTCGAGTTATGGATCCTTTTTTTTCTTTGTGGTGGAAACGGGCTTCCATAAAGATGTGAAACATCATCACGAAAATTAATTAACATCCAGTCACTTTCTTTCTAAACTCCATAGACTACTATGACTTGAATGACTAAGAACCTACACAGACAGACTAAACTATGCTTGAGGTCTATCTCACACAGTAGTCCCGCTTGCGCTTTTGTTAATCAGAGGCAGCCAATCAGAAGAATGTTTGCTTAAAGTGCTAAAAAAAAAAACCCAGCTTATTTCAGACAGTGGATAAGCTGTGTGCACCAAAACCTCAGGATAGGAATTATTGTGTAAATGATGAAAAAAATCCTCTCGTACAGTCCAAGAATCAAATGATGGAGGTGAAAATAAGGATAATAGGCTGTGTTTTATGTTATGACTGATCAGTCTGTGTAGATTTGGATGTGAGGTTTGGATGTTTGCAATTATCCTGAGGGTTACAGACAGTACAAAAGTGACTTCTTTTCCTTCTCTGTCTTTATTTTTTGCAAAGTTAACTACTGAAATGTAGCTCAGAGTCGCCTAGTTTACTGGCTACACCACATCAAAAACTTTCTTGACATCTCTTGACAGGTTTCATTGCTTGTCTTCAGTCCCCCTGCCTCCAAAATGTGGCATAAGGGTGATTCATATCTGGCAGGCCCTTAGACACCATGTTAGGTGAAAGTGGCGAATTATTATGTCTTTACCTTTGTGGTGGGTGGAGTGATTGCTCTAAATGTTGCTCCTTTATGTTTCACTCAAAAGTGATGCAGCAATAGCTATTCCTGCTGGCAGGCTTAATTATTTAATGTGGTGAACCACACTGAGGCAAGCTCCATCTTCCATTATGAAGAGAAAACTAGAATTTTGTGCTTTAATCTTAACATCGTCTTCTGTGATTAGCATGCAAAATACCACAGGAAGTCTCAGGATCTCGTCCCCAGATAATGAACTTTGTACTTTGTTGATGACTAGCTTACTGACAAACCATTGACTAAGAGTCCCACAGCTGGACCACATTCAAGTCCAAAGTGAAACTGGTGACAAGTCAAAATTGCTGCCAGGGTTCCTGTGAGTGCATGTACATCATCACCCTCTTAATATGCACAGAGCACCCTACAGAAAAAAATACAGTCTGTGCACCCTATTTAGGTTGTAACAGTCACTAACATTTAACTGATACCAAGAAAGCTTATTTCTCCCTACACAGCAGCCAGTAATTTATTAATATTTTCTTTTCCCCTTCTTATTTATCCGAAGTTGTCACAACTTCTTCTGTTCCAGTGGAGATAACCTGTACCAAGAAGGTTTCTACACAAAAAATTATATTTGTTATTATTACCTTTTAGCTTTTACTCTTAAAAAAAAAGGGGGAGAGGGGCTTTTGCGGGGCCACCAGTCTTCTTTTCTCAACACCATGCACGTCACAAACACCCAGAAAACTTGACTGTGCAGTCTAAATCCTGCTTGCTCTCCGAGTCAGTCTTGTCCTCCACACACATTCCAACACATTCCCATGACCTGGCTGAGTTCATGAGGAACATAAGCACATGATGATGGTGATGATTAAGAAAATCATGAAGAAATCTTCAAATTTATTGACGTAGGTCAGGGCACTTGGCAGAGGTCAGTTTGTGCCTTATTTGGATGCACGGTCTTGGTGAACCCGGTGCACTCTGTGGATGTGGTACAGTAGCACGACTGGATTCTAAGCAGGAGGAAAACTGGAGCAGACCCGCAGTCCGTCCTGCCTCACTTACAATGCCAGCACAGGAAATCCTCCTTTTGATTGCTAAATGAAGACGCAAGATTGAGAACAATAACTGTGCGTCCACTGTGTAGTGCCTTGCACTTGAGCTCTATGCCATGGAGCCACGGGCATGGGCAAACTAATGGAGACTGACAAACATGTGCACTGCATTTCAAATTACTACAAAGCACTTTTTTGTTTCAGTTTGTAAGGCCAAACCTCAAGAAATGTGATCAGTTCAGCACTCTGATCCTTCCAGCGAGGATAAGTTAAGAGAGACCCTATCATTTGTCCTACACTGCAGACAACCACAGGGGTTATAAGACCTTTCTTGACGCATTACTTTTTGCCCAACACAACATTTTATCTCTTCATCATAAAAAATCGTGTTTATCCCTTAACTATCAGCACAGTTGCAAAGTATCCGAATGAGTGTGACACTATTGTCCATAGCTTCACTGCAAACCACTTACAGCTGCATCAGTACATTTAAATTAAAGATTTTCATACATAATTTGCTTGTAATTTAATAATCCAGCTGTGTGTTAAAAAATATCTTCTTCTTCCAGTCCAGGTGGTTCCTGCATCATCCTCTAGGACTGTGCACTTCACTAGTTCCCCCCACTGATTAGCACTGCTTTATTAGCCTCAGCTGCAAAACTGATAATAGTTGCACAAATCAAAAATATGTCACAGGTTGTTAGCGCTTTCTTCAATCTGGCGTACTCGATAAAATGCATGGGCTGGGTTTTTTGGTTTTGGTTTTGGTTTTGTTTTTTTGTGCCATGTGTGATGAACTTCGATTCATCCAGCTTGGACAGCGATACCTTGTAATGTTCCTCTTCTAATGGCCTCACCCAGTGGACGGAACCAAAAGCCCAGTTTTCAAAGTGTATTCTCTAATAAACACATGAACGCCTTTGACATGTGTTTTAAATTAAATTGCCTTCCAACACATATAAGAGCCATTAAACATAGTGGTCTTACAGCCACATTCTCTCATTTACATTGTGTTTTTGTGATATAAACCAGGTTTTCCCCTCAAAAAATATTACTTGTAATTTTGGCTTTAGCTCACCGGTCCCGTTGGATTTAGCTGTTAGTCCTCCCAGAACAACTGCAGTCATTTTTTTTAAGTCTCCATTTCTTTTTATTTCTCTTGTTGTTCCTTGCACACATGAGGCCACCATGTCTGGGATCCAGAACGACCATCTCAGGAGTTACTCACAGTTGCAGCCAAAAATCAGCCGAAAAATAAGGCTAGGGGATGCAGGTGGGGGTTGTGGGTATCCAGAGTGGTGCAGTAGGATTCAGAAAGAAAGTTTCCAACTGCAGTACCTCATCAGTATGAAAACGATTTGAATTTTCTCCTCATCAAAGTTATAGTTTCCCTTTCACTGTGGATTCGGCTGCAGCGGCTGTGTGCACGTTTCATTTAATTTCTGCAACCTGGGGCGGATGTGTATACCAAGGACGGATTCCATTTTTGCTTTATAATAATAATAATAATAATAATAATACATTTTATTTAAATAGCGCCTTTCAAAGCACCCAAGGACACTGTACAACAGATAAAAACTGGAAATATACACAATGATAAAAATAGAAGATAAAAGTTAAAACATACAGAAATTTAAGAATAGGCAATTTTAAACAGATGAGTTTTGAGGGTGGACTTAAAATGGGTCACGGATGATGGAAGTGTTTAAGAGTGTTTGTCCAATAAATGAGCTATTTGTTTAGAAATGCTATTAGAAGCAATGTGCTTTTTTTTAAAAAAAATGGCTGCATGCCCATATTTCTAGTTAGTGTCACATGTGTTTGTGATAGAAGATAACTTCTTGCTTTTTCTGATCTGTGCTCCAGGTGTGTATCTACCACCTGGTGCTGGGTTAGGACCAGGAGGCGGTGGAACAGGAACTGGATTCTTTCCAGGTCACCCAGTTGCACATTAAAAAAAACATCCAGAACGCAGCCATAAACAAGTCTGCTTCCAGGATGGATACATGAACACAATTTAATAAAAAATATATAAAATCATGCAAGAACATGCAGACTCAAAAAAGACATGCATATTGCAAAGAATACGAAACATAGCACTGCTTCAGCTTGTCATCAAACTTCAAAGCTGAGTTGACAGTTAAGTCTTGGCACTGATGATTCAAATGACTGAAAGTGGCTCACACAGATTTAACGTTCTTATTTATAACTGAAACCTAATCTGTTTCTGTCAAAAGCATAAACTGGAAAGTCTGAAACTGAGTAAATATTTAACCCAAAAAGTCTTTCAAGGGTGAAAATGTGCATGTTTGTGACATGTAATCATCCTTTTCTCTTGTTGTATGTACTCAAAAATATACACTCATATGAAAAAGAAAGTTTTCACATGACTTCATGCAGTCCTGTCAAAGCACACTCTTACTGCCTCCAGAAGAATTAATAAGGTAAGGAGGAGCCAGGTGCTGCTAATCAAATGCATATAATTAATCATGAGGAAGTGTGACCATTTCCAAAGGTTGCCTGAAGAAAGCGTCTTTTCTCTAAAATAAACATGACAGCATGGCTTAGGCTTGCAAAGCTGCATTTGAACAAACCACAAGATTTCAGGAACAATTTCCTTCGAGCCAAAGTAGAAATGCTTGGCCCTAACGCACAGCATTGTGTCTGCTGAAAACCAAACACAGCATATCAAACACATCATACCACAGTGGTGCAGGGGGGATGATTTCGGTTTATTTTGTAGCCACAGGACTTGGGCACCTTGAAGTCACAGAGTCGACCCTGAACTCCTCTGTCTCAAAGTATTCTAGAGTCAGATGTGGGGCCATCTGTCAAACAGTTAAAGCTTAGCTCAAACTGGGTCATGCAACAGGACAGTGATCCCAAAAAATTTACAACAGAATGGTTGAAGCAGAAAAAAATTAAGGTGCTGCAATGACCCAGTCAAAATCCAGACCTCAACCTGACTGAAATGCTGTGGTGGAACCTTAATAGAGCCGCGCATAAACAAATGCCTGCAAACCTCAGTGAACTGAAGCAACCTTGTACAGGAGAGTGAGCCAAAATTCCTCTGCAACGATGTGAGGGGCTGATAAAGTCACACTGAAAATGATTACTTCAAGTTATTGCTGCTAAAGTTGGGTCTATAAGCTATCGAATCATGGGGCATACTCGATTTTTCACCAGACTGCACGGAGTCCTGTGCAAAACTTGACTGCATACAATCAATGTATAAGCACATGCATTCAGTGATTTATAACATATACCTTAATGTATGCATGTGCAGCATTGTCATTTCTGGAAAAGGAACACAGATTTTGAGCCTCACAAGCGGACTTATGTGACCGTGCTTCATCATGATATAAAAACTTATATGCAAGTATGTAGTAACCCTCAGAAGATGCCACAAGACACTCCTGGTGTCCTGAGAGAACTTATGACACAAGTCAGCTGGCATGATGATAAACTGTGATTTACCTTACTACATGTAGGCAAACCATAAATCAATGGTTGTATGACTGTTATTTTACTAGGGGCTGCTGGAGGGTTCCCTGCGGGCTATAAACCAGCTAAAGCTGCAGGTGAGTAGAAGAGATTTTTTGATTTATGACTTTTCCCCCCCAAAAAATAAAAATAACTTCTCAAGAATTGCATCTGGTTTATCATGAACCGGAGCATTCATGTCTCTGTCTGTGATGTGGACAATTTAAACAAAATTATATCATAAAAGTCTTCTTCAAATATGTATATTGGAAGAATTGTTTTTTAGCCTCATGGAGCTGTGCATGGATCAAGGCGATTTTATGATGAATTCAACTTGGTTTAACTCATTGTCTTCCAGCTACTGATTAATATTTATACATTTTTAATAAGCTTCAGCATCATCTAGGCCGCTCTTTGAAGAGAGTCTTTCATTTGGCTCAGCCTAAATCAGCGATATTTTCCATGTAAGTTTCTATAAATCGAGAAAGTAGTGTCATTGCAGGCACAGGTATTCAGTCTGATGATTATCATTTCACACATCAGCAGCAGATACTCACACACACAATTTTAGCAGCAGCTTTACACACCCTGTGTAGTGCCCTGGCAGGGCTTCAGCTCCCATTTGCTGAACAAGTTTGACCTTGTGCACCTTTTTCATTTTTTTGCTATATTTTATGCTAATGCTATTTGAGGGCTATGCGCACGTTAAGTTTACAACATTAAGCATGCAACAGTGTAACATTAGTTCCATAAGAAACAGACTGCAGTCCTTGAGACAAATTTCCCTGTCAACGCTCGGATTTGGTTCGGCCGGATCAAGGGGAAACAACTGGTGAGACTTCCTTATCACGCCACCACAAGCTAAGATTAATTAAATCCAAGGGATATTGCTGAGGCAGTAAAACAATGTGTTTGAGGGCTGACCGCTTTTAATAAGCCTGTTTGCTGGAAGGCATTGTGAGTTTTCTCTTATATGGTCTTTAACAATGATTATCGTGATAATTAACAGCCATCTCCAAATGGTAACGATGAAGACAAAATGACGACATGACACAAGATCGTTGCAGAAACAAACACAGCAGTGCGACCGTGATCAGCCAATCATTAATGTTGTCATCACTTTTGTCATCATCTGCTGTTTCTGTCAGGAGGTTATGCAGGAGGAGGTGGAGGCCGAGGCCTATTCGTGCCAGGGGCAGGTGGCCAGGTCATTGCAGGATTGCCAGCAGGTATGAAGCAACTGCGCTTAATTGATTTAGCTGTCGACCAGCAATGCACCTGCCTTTAGGAGCCGCTGTCATTACACATAATCAGGCAAAGCATTTCGGCATCTTAAGTCATAGCTGTCCGTTTGTGTTAAAACAGTTTAACAAATTATGTCACAATCAGATAATCACACAGTCCTCGCATATTATGTTTGCTTTGACTTCAACAGGACAAGGTGGAAAAGCCCCTAAACCAGGTAAGCTGGAACATTTTTTTAGTGTTATTGTGGTTTTTATTCTATCGTTTTACTGATATTAAAACAGACTCTGATTTTTACATGGAGCTAACACTAATCTACACTTTCACAAAATATTTTGAACCCACTATTTTTGCTCTGTTTCCACATGATGCAGTATTGCAATAACAAGGAGATTTTACACCATGTTGGACGGTCTTGAAAGGAAGGAACTCTAGTCACTCTATGGTCTGCATTACCTTTACCCACCCAGTCCTTAAAGAGACAGTCTATTGATCGGGTGTCAGCAGGTTGTCCTTATCAGCCCTGGCGTTTTTTGTGGTGGTGGGGTTGGCATCTCTCTGGGGAATCCTGACTGGGTGGGATCATACATACAGATTTCTCTACCTCTGCTGCATGAAAAGGATTAAGGAGTGATGATTGGCAGAGTGCAAACAGCTATCAACGCCTGCCAAGCAGTGGTGCCAGAGCACTGATTAATGTTATTGTAAAGCTGGACCCTCACAATATCTGGAAACCTCCGTGTTGAAATTTACCACAGCCCTTCTCTCCGATACTGTACAATAAATATTTTCCTTTGCTGTATTTTAGTCTGCACCGCATTGGTGCTCTAGTAAATTTAGCCATCATTTAATTTCCCCCAAGCACCGCTGAAACAATCGCAGCCTACCTCTCTGTGTTTAGAAAGATAAGGGACCAAGCAATGGTTCTATAGTCCTGATAACACATGGAGCGGGGTCCCTCTGGAGTGCCACACCCTCACCCTCCAACCAGAGAAGCTGGAAAGCACTTTTGTGAAAATGACCTAATATCCAGCATTTGGTGGAAGTTGACTTTGGCCGGGCGCAGCAGAGCATTACTGGAGAAATATTGCGCTTTTGTGTGCATTTAAGACCCCTCTCTTCCTCACCGTGTACACGGCAGGAATTAAATTGGTGAGAAAAAGGGAAGTGAGAAATGTTTTAAAAAGCTCCTTTCGTGTTTGTTTTAGATCAGTGCTCCGCTCTGAATCCATACTAATCTTTGTTGTATGGAAAATACTCACAGTGCATTACTGGGGTTTAGCTAAGACGCTTTTTTTAAATGGAAAAGAAGACTTAAAGTCTCAGGGGAGCAGTAATATGTTCCGCTTCATGGCTGTTCACAAAGCTTTGAATGTTGGTTTCCATCAGAGCTGCTTTCCTTTCCATCAGAGGAATATTGCCTGAAGCCTTACAAGCATGAAGCCTCCATTAATACACAAATGTATATCTACAGTTCACCTGTAAGTAAGACTCACACAGCGGCAGGTAGAATCCATCCCATTGGTCAGTGTCTGCAGGCTTGTGCTGCAGAGAGAACATGCAACTATCACGTGAAAATTCACTGACATGTTTTTAGTTTTTCATTAATCTTCAATATTAAGAGCAGGATTGTCTTTCTAAGGACACACAAATGCAAACACTGGTCAGCTAATCTCAGATGCATGCTCACATAACAAGAGCTGCCATTCATTCTTCTGATGAAGTCAAGCAGTGACATTGCATTCCTCAAATATGCACCTTGCCTTTGCAGTAATGGAGAACAGCAGCTGGCTATGTGAGTAGCGTGACTGCAGTGAATTGCAGCGTAACTCATGCAAGACCTTGTAAATGTTACACTAATTGTGAAGTCTGTCAGCATCCAGCTCTGACAATACAATGAAAGGTGGAAGGAGGAACTTTCTCCTTATGAACAGCTGTTGGAGCCCTTTTCTTGTGCTGCCTCAAGCGAAGGTGGAATCAATACTCATAGCGTTATTGCTGAAACTTGGCTCTCGCCGACCAGCCTCTTGTCACTTTCAGGCAACGTGAACGCAGTTAACGAGAAACATAGAGGTTACTGTTTTTGCTGTTGGTGTAATTTCTTTGTACGATTACAATGGTCTGTTTTAGCTTGAGAAAAGATGTGTCTGTGTGGGAGAGCTGCAGTGTGTTTACACTCAGCCTACCAGTGGACTCTCCAAGATTAATAAACACTGAAGATCATAGACAACATGTTGTCTGTCTTCATTTTCTAACGCTGTCAGAAGCTGACAAAAGCGAGCCTCGGCCTTTGAGCAATGAAAACGTATATGAGCCATTGGGATCTGTAAGCAATTTAACAGACTATAGATCTCATACAGCAGATGGATGAAATACTGCTCGTGTATAGCTTGTCTGTCGAAAGCATCAGTGGCAGTCGGGCTTTTATTAGTTTCTAGGCTCATAATGTTATAAAATAGGTATGTGTGAGCAAATAGCAACGACTAAAGGAAAAAACTAATGGCTGGCTGGCAGCAAGTCGCAAATCTGAAGAAATTAACATCTCAGGAGAAGACAAGTAGGCATCAGGTGTCACTTCTCTGTAAGAAAGTCCAACACTAGCTTTTAGGAAAGCTGTCGCTGAACAGTCTCTGTGCTATTCAGGACAGCTGAGTACACTGAGTTTCTGAGTAAGCTCTGCCAACTGCCATCCAACCACAAAGAAAGACGGAAATTGATATTGTGAGCCTGGTAATGTAAGCCCACTGCTCGGCTTAACCTTGTGATGCAACTGCAGTGTAGTACAACTCAGCATTACAACATGAAGTCTCCAAAAAGTCTTTGCGAAGGCGCAGCGGGATTTGTTGCAGAGCCGTTTATGAATAGATAAGCGTACTGGAAAAAACTGGCAGCTGAGTGTAAAGAGTCTCGCCTTTTCTGTGGCTCTTCCACTGAAACATGATGATGAAAAGTATTGGAAAATGTAGTCAAAAATCCTCCTCGGAAAATTTGAGATACATGTAACATTTTGGTCCACACAGAAACATGTCTCTGAGTTGTTTTGGCAGTCATATGGACCTGCGTGGCAGCAGGCCAGCAGAGAGTTGTGGCTGCTGATTGCAGAAAATACATGCAGGTGGTGGGCTTGAGTGTTCGCAGCACTTTAGACTGTTTGTGAAAATCTGAAATAAATGAAGATATTCACTTTAATACCATCACTGGGGGAAAAAAAGCCCCTGTAATTCGTAAGAAAACAGTTATTTCAACACACGCACTTCTTTTTTTTTTCACCTAAAAACTCAGAATTTCTTTTTTCAGTTAATCTTTCTAGGATTTAAAAAGCAGAAGTACACCTGCTTTTCTTTTCCTGCTCATCTTCTGGTTCATATCGCGGCCATTGTTTGAAGACGCACCAAGTGAACTTGTCTTCTTCAAAAGCAGGAAAGGCAGAGAAATTGAAGCGTGCAGTGGACACGGGGAGGACAGACGAAAGACAGGCTAAAGCAAGGAGAACGGAAAGGACCGATAACTCATGCGGACATGCCGTATATATGTCATACGCGTACACCACCTCTCACTGCCGCGCAGAGAATTATATGCGCATTCATTCGCATTGCACACATACCGAGAGAGCTCTGTGAGAGAAAGGAGACTGATAGATTGAGGTGAGGATTAAAGTGTTTAGCCAAAAGAAGATGAGCTCTGAGGAGGTTTAGTCTCCTGGAGCACATGTGGCTTTCATTACCGCAGCTCAGACCTGTCCTCTGAGCTGTCAGAGACTGGAAGCATCTGCATGTGAATATGCATGACTATGATTGTATGTAAATATGTTTATCATCTTCATATGTGCGCAATTACGAGAGCGACCGCATGTGTGCGCGCCGACACAAACACACACAAATAGCGAATATGTATTCTGACATCGGTTTGGAGGCATTCGGCATCCCTTTCAGCACATAATAGACACACTTGTTTATGCAGGAAAAATGTGAATTATGGACTTTTCTCTATTCTTACTCAACTATCTTTCCTCTTAGTCCATTTAATCTGCCCTCCACCGGCTCTCTGCGTCAAGCGTTCAAGATCTTGGAAAATAAACTGTCTGCAACGGAAACTTTCTGATATCACCCCCACACTGGACTCAGCCCACCCAATATGCACACAGCCAACACGGCTTATTTGTTCGCATTGCAAATGCCTGTTGTCTCCCAAACAATTTTTCTTGGATTACGTCACCAGTTGTTGATGTCCTCGCGAATTCATCTCAAGAATTACATTTATATTGGATTAAAGCTTGATAAGAAGCTCTTTATTAGTTTTCATTGGTGCCTAATCAGTCAGGCGTTCCACACATCACTGTTTCTAACTGTGGTATTTCCCCACATGCAATTATAAAGTACTTTCTCTCTGCTTTAGTAATATCTCCTCAGGCCCTCACTGGCCAGTTTTGTATTTTGTTTGCACGGTTATTTTCCTGGGAACGTTACTACCGATGCATCTTGTCCGTCTCCGCTTTGTTGGTTGAGCAACTGTCCCATGACGATACTTCTCACAACCTCTTCTGACGCTCCCTTTGCCAGCAGGTCGGCAACATGCAACTGTACTTGTCCATCTGGCTGCACAGCCAAAGCGTTATTTATGTAGTGATAGAGAAATTTCTTTCTGTTGTTTTAGTAAGAGCTTATGAAGACAGGGTGAAGTCTGTGAGAGCCGAGGGCCTGTTTAGTAGATTTGTTTAAGAGTAAGCATTTACAGCGCTGTTGCTGTGAGTTGGGTTTGAAGAATTTAAAGGGCCATTAAGAGGAGATTATTTGTTTGGAAAGTTTACTGTATGCATTCCAGTCTTGGTGGGTATAAAGGATCATGCATCACACGGCATCATCAAAAGAGTGGCGGGTGATTGATACATACACAGCTCACGTCTATGCTCAGGTCTGATGCAGGGCCTTAAAAATGTTGTGACTCCACATGTGTCATTTTAAAAAAAGTCACTGCAAAAGTGTTCTGGTGCTGATGTCTTGTCCTCCCAGTGCAGGTTTGCTCATTCATTAAAGTGCTCCTAATTTCAAATAATGGGAGTCGCAGAAATTATCTCACCCCTGTGAAATGTCACTCTTGGATTTCTCAATCAGGCCCAGTGCCGGGCTTGAGTAACCTGGGATGATAAATGGGTTCTGAATGACTTCAGCTTTGGCCCTTGAGGCTTCGTAGGTATCCTAACGCATTAGTTCATGCAGC